TACAGGCGTTAACCACAGTGCCCGGCCCTTCTTTTAAAATTTTTATATTTTTAAAGACAAGGTCCTGCTATGTTGCTTAGGCTGAAATGCAGTGGCTGGTTTATTCACAGGTGAGATCATAGTGCACTGTAGCCTTGAACACCTGGCCTCCAGTGATTCTCCTGCCTCAGCCTCCTAAGTAGCTGGGACTACAGGCATGTGCTACTGTGTTCTACTTATTTTATTTTTAATAAAGCATTTGGTTTCAGTTGCAGAACTTATTTAAATTTGTGAGAAATGTCTGCTTCCCAATAGAGAACATGACACTAAAAATCAGTCTCGGTTTACTTACTTCCCAATTTTCTCTTCCTTAGTTGACAACTGTGAAATAGAGAACCAAAAGCTATCAAAGATAGCTATAAATAATATTTGTGTGAGGCAGACAATTATCTGGGCTGCAGTCCCTTCTTTGCTTTGGCTTTCATTCCAAACAACAGTAAAAGCAAATCCACAAAACCATTTGGGAATAGGAAGTGCAAAGGGGTATTTACTCACAGGAAAAAATTAGGACCCTGATTGGTGTCCAGCACGTATTCATGCTCCCCAGTGTGTGGGGGGTCTTGCAGACATCTTTCAAGCCCATCACAGACATTGCCTTAAAATGCTTCCCAGATTTAACTGAAAGCAAACACTTTCAGTAGGTAAAGCAGACTGAACGTTGGGTAAAAGCACCCTTCTTTCCTTTTTTCTTTTTCGCCCTATCAACCCAGCTTTTCTGACTCCAGGAAGAACCAGGAAGAGAAGGCCAAAAGCACCCTTCTTTCTAATCGCCAGTGAGGCCAAAATTGATCTTATGAATTCACAAGTTGATCTAGAAAGCACATTTGTAATAAATATTTCCATGCTCTTCAGTGACAATTAAAATGGACACTATATAACTAATTAAGATGGGATTGATCTTATGAGTTCATAAGTTGATCTAGAAAACACACTTTTAACAAATATTTTCCATACTCCATAATAACAATAAAAAATGGACACTATGTAACTAATTAAGATGGGAGTAGAAGGCCAATAAGAACATTTAGTGTCTAGCACCACCTTGTGGTGCTACATGCAAATCCCGAGCCCTTGAAAGGACCCCGAGATTAAACCTTCTTGAAAAAGAGTTGGCTCGTGAGGGGCTCCACCATTTCGATGTAACAATATAATATAAAATAATAGAAATAACTAGCACTTGACTGGTACTTTATAGTAAACCAAGCACTCCCATCTGAATTATCTCATTTAATCCTGGCAGCAGCTCTGACAGGTACGAGGTACTAAGATCTCAGTCTTAGACATGTGAAGTCTGAAGTTCAAAGAAGTTGGTAGTTTGTACTGGGCAAGTTTTGCACTTGAACCCATTTATTCATATTCCAAATCCTGTAATAAAATTGTATTAGTACTATTGTATGGAATATATATATATATATATATATATATATATATCTCACTATACTATATGTATTAATATATGTGAAAAGTTCATAAGAAACATTTAGTGCTATGTAGGATATTTTAATATAATATAGTATTTCTATTATTTTTTATAGTACTGTTAGCCAGTATTCACCTCATTTCTGGGGGCTGTTTTCTGTCTGTGAAGACAGGGCAATACTGGTTGACTCTTTGTGGTCTTTATGATTCCACAGAGTTTTGCTACTAAACCCACCATGGTCTTGCTTTCCTGGGCCCTAAGCACCCAAACAGTGGGAGAACCTGATCCTCTGTTGTCTTAATTTGGGGTGCACTGATGGAAATGTGCCCAGGGAGAATGAACAAAACGACATAGAGGCAGTGAGACCGAAGTCATTTTCATGTTTGGCCTTTAAAATGCTTGTGAACCAATCTACTGTCTCATAGTTAAAATACTGAAGGACTGCGTCACCTCATTAATTTAACAAGAAGTACATTTTACAATCAACATATCTTAAAGTTGTCAGCTGCCTGAGTGGGCCCACTTGCAATCCTGGCCCACCCATGAAAAAAAAATCTTGTTATAATTTTTTTTTTTTTAAACAAAATCTCACTCTGTCGCCCAGGCTGGAGTGCAATGGCACAATTTTGGCTCAGTGCGACTACCACCTCCCAGGTTCAGGCGATTCTCCTGCCATGTTAGGCAAGCTGGTCTCAAACTCCTAACCTCAGGAGATCCACCCACCTCGGCCTCCCAAAGTGCTAGGATTACAGGCATGAGCCACCACACCCAGCTTCAGCTTTAAATATTCTAAATGAAAACTTCTGCAGCCTGGCTTTATGGGATTAGAATCTGGGGCCATAACTACTCCTGTGGGTAGAGACAACTCCAAGTTGTGTTTGGAGGAAACCGCTGGCCCCATTCACAGGTGTACCCCCAGCCAGCACTGGCAAAGGAAGAGGGCTTCATCAACCTGTTTTGCTTTCTCTGAAGTCATTCCTACTTATCTCTTGGCCAGACGGTCTGCCCAATACCTGCCCTTCTAAGGGAGAAGAACCTAGACCTCCTGGTTCTTAGATTCACATCAAACCCTCCACTGAGAACACTATTGATAGAAGACTGCCAAAAGGACCAACAGCCTGTTAAGTCTACTAGAAATTCTAAAACCCACCTAGACCATCTCATTTCAGTCCTCTCTAGCTACAAAGTATTTGATTAGTCCTTTAGGGATATCTATGTTATGCAACATTATCAGAAACAATGCTTTGATACTTGTGTTTATTATTGGTAAAGCTGTTAAGTTTGCTATGTTATAGTGTTCTCTTTATGGGAACTAGAGGGAAAGGTTCCTTAGATCTCCAGATTAGGTGTAGCAGCCTCAGGTTTATCGCATGGAGCCTGGACTTGATCTTGTTTCCCTCTTTACACTGACTACTAGGAAGCAAAATTGGTTATTTATCCTTAAGTTTATAAGACCTCCTGTAACGCAGTGTGTATGGATAAGGTTACTTTCCTGGGCTCAACTTATTTTTTCCTTTAGCCCAGTTTCCTTACTTAAAATCATGTAATTTTTGTATTTTTGTAAGTTGTCCTTGAACTCTTTGTGGGAGAATTTTAAATAGAAGAGAAACTACTTTCTGTTGTTAGCCTTCAGAATAGAGGACATCCTTGCGGGGACAGCGACTGGAATGAGACACAGAGATGGGGAGGTTTCTGGGGTGCCAGTCACACTGGACGCATCACACAGGTGTGCTCACTTTGTGATGTCAGTGAGTTAAATATTTATGATTTGTACACTTTTCCGTATGTATAACTTTTATGCTCAAAAAATGAAGATTGAGGGAAATGATACTTATGTGCCATATATATGTACTTCCTTTAATCCTCTGAACACTTTTGAGTTAGTAGTTATCCCCATTATAAAAACGAGGAATGTGAGGTTCAAACAGGTTAAGGAATGAGGACAAAATTCCAAGTAACTTCTGATAACAAAAGCACAGGCTTATCCTACTACACTACACTACACTACACTACACTACACTACACTACACTACACTACACTACACTATATTGCTCCTTGCTCCTTTTTTTTTTTAAATTGGAGACAGGGTCTCGCTCTGCACCCAGGCTGTAATACAGTGGAGTGATAATGGCTCACTCCATTGCTGCAGCCTCTAACTCCTAAGCTCATGCAATCCTTTAACCTCAGTCTCCTGAGTAGCTGGGACTACAGGAGTACACCACTACACCTGGCTAATTTTCTTTTTCTTTTTTTTTTTTTTTCATAGAGATGGGGTCTTGCTACATCACCCAAGCTCCCACTTTTCTACTTTAAATGGCCTGTCTTTATCCAGCTAGCCAGTAAAATCCAAGAAACATTGACCAGACTTAGCAGAGACACAGGTGAAAGGACTACTGCGGAGGGGACAGCATCTAGAGCTGAAGCTGAAGTGGGTTTCACTTGGTGGATGGGGCTTTGGGAGAGAGCACTGGACTGAAAGCGGGGACCTTGAGGCTGCTTTTGGGCAGGGCTGGACTCTCACTGTGAGAAGGCCAGTGAGGACCCCTTTAGGTCCTCTTTCTTTATAAGTTCTATCAGCGCCTTCCAAGAAGTTGAGGACTGATGGCAGAATCACAAAGCCCAGCAAGCACAGTCTGAGCCCTGCTGCCTGTCCCTCTTCTCTTCAGGAGCCAGGGGGATTTATTCTGATTGTACAGTAACTATGACTATTATCCAACCCTTCAATCTGGAACCCATCCTCCAGACGTGGTTGGAGTTGAAGGGCCCAGGCCTGCTGCACACAGTCCAGTTACGTACTCAAGACGGTGTTCTCACAAACAGCTTTCTACAGAAAGGCAAATAGAAAGGTTTACAGGCTTAACTCTTGTGAGCAGGACAAAAGAACCTGGATTTTACTTCATAGAGGAAAAGACATTATAAGGCAATGATTGGGAAGCAGGTCAGTAGACCAACTTAGGGATTTCCCCATATTCCACAACACTAGCTACATGGCTTTGGGCTCATCATTTACCTTTTGCTACTGCTTCCTCATTTACCAAGAGGGAGCTGGAACAGTCCATTCTAACGCCCCTCTCAACTCTGAAATTCTAACTCTAAACTAGACACCAGCCATCTTAGAGAAGCAGCACTGGACAAATGGAGCAGAGGGGAGGACAGGTGGTAGCCATCCCCTCTCTCTCCCAGGGCAAACAGTGTGGCAAGGAACTGGCCCAATGATAGGGGGTCTCAACAATCAGGCAGGGAGCCATGGAGAGTTCTTGAGCACAGACAGAGCAAAAGTGGTATTTGTGGAAAACTGGTTTTGAGAAATATATAAATGAACTAAAGTAGAGACCAATGGGCAAATATGACACTGGAAAAAGAAGAGAGAACAATCCTTTAGGCTAAAAATATATATGAGTATCTTATTTTAGTCTACTTGGCCTCATTTTTCTCCACACTGTCCGTTTGACATGCTGCCTGGAGGAGGGGAACACTCACAGAGTCACATGAGTAATGACACGGATCTCTACGTACTACGGACTCCTTAGGCTTTTCTTTGTGGAATTTTACAGTGAACGACATGGCTAAATTATGTCATTCTATAAAACTTTCATTACTTTTCAGGCCTTGAAGTTTTATTTACAGGTCCTTAACACATACACATACACTTCCTATTCTTTAATACAAAAAGTACATAGTAGTTCCCCCTTATCTGTGGGAGATATGTTTCAAAACCCCCAGTGGTGGCCTGAAATCACAGATGGCACCAAATCCTAACAAAAGAACAATTTTAACAATATACTGTAATAAAGTTATGTGAATGTGATATCTCCTTCAAAATATCTTTTTTTTTTTTTTTTTGAGACACATTCTCGCTTTGTTGCCCAGGCTGCAGTGCAATAGCATGATCTCGACTTACTGCAACCTCCACCTTCCAGGCTCAAGCCATCCTCCCACCCCAGCTGGGACTACAGCCACATGCCACCATGTCTGGCTAATTTTTGTATTTTCTATAGAGACAGGGTTTCACCATGTTGCCCACACTGGTCTTGAACGCCTGGGCGTTCTCCTGGCCTCAGCCTTCCAAAATGCTAGGGTTATAGTCATGAGCCTATAACTTACCTCAAAATATCTAAGTAACTGACTGCTGTTGAAAACAGGTAATTGAAACTGTGTTACGTGAAACCATGGATAAAGGTGGACTACCACACCTACTCATTAAAAAAAATTAAGGGCCAGGCATGGTGGCCAACGCCTGTAGTCCTAACTACTCAGGAGCCTGAGACAGGAGGATTACTAGAGCCCAGGGAGGTCAAGGCTACAATGAGCTGCAATCACACCATTGCACTCCAGCCTGAACACCACAAGATCCTGTCTCAAAAAATATATAAAGTAAAAAGAGTAATTTTATTTATTTATTTATTTATGAAACAGGGTCTCACTCTGTTGCCCAGGCTGAGTGCAGTGGCATGATCTCGGCTCAATGCAACCTCCGCCTCTCAGCTTCAAGCGACTCTCCTGCCTCAGCCTCCCGAGTAGCTGGGATTACACACACCCGCCACCGTGCCCAGCTAATTTTTTTGTATTTTTAGTACAGATGGGGTTTCAACATGTTGGCTAGGTTGGTCTCGAACTCCTGGCCTCAGGTGATCCCCCAACCTTGGCCTCCCAAAGTGCTGGGATTACAGGCATGAGCCACCGTGCCCAGCCAAAAGAGTAATTTTAAATTTCCTCTTCAAGGGGAGGTATGAATGCCATCCTCATGAAAGGTCAGGACTTACGATCCAGGCCCAGGATCACAGGAGATGGGTTCTTAGGAGGCTTTTGAAATTTGCTCTGAAGGAAAACTCTCGGCACACACAGGCCTTCTTTTTTATTCACCGTCTCTCGAAACACATACTCGTTTACCACTTCTTCATAACCTGTGTCCATAAAGAGCTGGGCCAGGAATGCTGTAAGACAAGTATCAACAATGCTCAAAAGTCCTGACAATATTACATTTGCTTTGCAGTCCTTGAGGAGGAGGAATAGAGGGCTGACAATACTTTAATATTTTTTAATGAAAACCTTAGAGCTAAAATGTAAAGGTTTTGATTAGAGAACTAATACACTCCTTCTCCTCTTCTACCCAAAAAGAAACCTTTAATTAAACAATTTAATCAGAACAAGGTGAAGAACAACCTGGTGTGTGCATCTTGCCCTATTATGAATTCTCAAATACAAAAGCCTGAGTAAAAAGAAACAATTTCAAATTGGTTATATTCCATTTTTTTTTTTTTTTGAGATGGAGCCTGCTCTGTCTCCCAGTCTGGAGTGCAGTGGCACAATCTCAGCTCACTGCAACTTCCACCTCCTGGGTTCAAGCAATTCTTCTGCTTCAGCCTCTCAAGTAGCTGGGACTACAGGTGCACGCCACCACGCCCAGCTAAATTTTGTATCCTTAGTAGAGACGGGGTTTCAACATATTGGCCAGGCTGGTCTCAAACTGCTGACCTAGTGATCCACCCACCTCAGCTTCCCAAAGTGCTGGGATTACAGGCGTGAGCCACCATGCCTGGCCTATATTCCTTTTTTAAATTAAATATTCTTTTTTTTTTTTGAGACAGAACGTGGCTCTGTCACCCAGGCTAGAGTGCAACCTCTGCCTCCTTGGCTTAAGTGATCCTTCTGCCTCAGCCTCTTAAGTAGCTGGGACTACAGGTACACACTACCATGCCTGGTTAATTTTATTTGTATTTTTAGTAGACACAAGGTTTCACCATGTTGGCCAGGCTGGTCTCAAACCCATGACCTCAAATGATCCACCTATCTTGACCTCCCAAAGTGCTGAGATTACAGGTGTGAACCACTGTGCCTGGTCGATTATATTCCTTTTTAAAATTTATCTTATTATTTCCCATCTCCGAACAAAAACATAAAAATTGGCAACATTCCTACAGGGTCTGCATGTGCTCAATTTGTGTACCTCAAACATCTTATTCTTCCTAACACGAAGGAGGAAAATCTGTGATCAGAGTGGAGAAACACATCCAATGGTGACCTAGCTGCAGGAAAATCTAACCCAAATAATACATCCCTACACATTAAATGAAACAAGTAGGATAAATGGCTAGGCAGCAAAAATAAAGACTCTGACTAAGAGCACTGCTCCAGAGAACATGCTCTGAAGCACTTTGTAGGTATCACTGCATCTTCTCAAGATTTACAATTGGTTTAGATGTTATGAATTAAAACCGCTTTTGAATTTTAACCTATTTTAATAATTTTGCAGTTTTTTTTTGTTTTGTTCTGTTTTATTTGAGACAGGTTTCTCACCTTGTCGCCAGGCTGGAGTGCAGTGGCATGATCACAGCTCACTGCAACCTCTATCTTCTGGGGCCAAACAATCCTCTTGCCTCAGCCTCCTAAGCAGCTGGGACCACAAGTGCATGCCACCAATCCTGGCTAACATATTTTTTAAAATTTTTAGTAGAGACAAAGTTTCACTGTTGCCCAGGCTGGTACTGAACTCCTGAGCTCAAGTGATCCTCCTGCCTCAGCCTCCCAAATAATTTTGCAGCTTTAATAGTAACCACTCAATTTTAGCTCATTTTGGTATCTAAAATATGTCATTTCAAGATGAAAATGTTTGTTAAAATAGAGGTTAAGAAGGTAATTATCTCCCGGTCTAGATGATTAGGCAGACTTTGTTCAAGACACCTAAAAGACTGAAATAATGTTCCACATTTTCTTATCAAAAATGACTTTTTTTTTTTGAGATGGAGTTTCACTCTTGTTGCCCAGGCTGGAGTGCAATGGCGCTATCTCAGCTCACCACAACCTCTGCCTCCTAGGTTCAAGCCATTCTCCTGCCTCAGCCTCCCAAGTAGCTGGGATTACAGGCATGCGCCATCATGCTCGGCTAATTTTGTATTTTCAGAGACGGGGTTTCTCCATGTTGGTCAGGCTGGTCTCGAGCTCCCGACCTCAGGTGATCCACCTGCCTCGGCCTCCCAAAGCACTGGGATTTTAGGCGTGAGCCACCGTGCCTGGCCAAAAATGACTTTTTAAATACCTCCTTGGGGCTGGGGAATGGTGTCTCATGTCTACAGTCCCACAACTTTGGGAGGCTGAGGTGGGCAGATCACTTGAGACCAGGAGTTTAAGACCAGCCTGGCCAATAAGGCAAAACCCCATCTCTACTAAAAATACAAAAATTAGCTGGGTGTGGTGGCACACACTTGTAATTCCTGCTACTTAGGAGGCTGAGGCATGAGAATCACTTCAGCCTGGGTGGTAAAGGTTGCAGTGAGCTAAGATCATACCACTGCACTCCAGTGTGGGCAACAGAATAAGAATCTGTCTCAAAAATAAATAAATAAATACCTCTTTACAGCAGATTTGCATATTTAGCTAAAAACAGATCCAGGCCAGGTATAGTGACTCACGCCTGTAATCCCACCTATTTCGGAGGCTGAGACAAACGGATCATTTGAGCTCAGGAGTTCGAGACCAGCCTGTGCAACATGGTTAAAACCCCAACTCTACCAAAAATACAAAAAATTAGCCAGGCATGATGGCATGTGTCTGCAGTCCCAGCAACTTAGGAGGCTATGGTGGATCACTTAAGTCTGGAAGGTTGGAGGTTGCAGTGAGCTGAGATCATGCCACTGCACTCCAGCCTGGGTGACAAAGTGAGACTCTGTCTCAAAAACAACAACAACAAAAACCCAAAACAGATCCAATCGATTCTACAGAAAAAGGTTTCTTGACTTTGTGCCATGAGAAAGTAATCTCAAGGCATTATACTATCTGATTTGCTTTATTTTTAACTAGACAAGGAGAAGTTTCTGACTTGCCCTCCCTCTTGTTCCAGCACAAGTCCTAGTAGTGCATCAACATAGTATGTTGAGGCTGTCCACTAAGGGAGTCACTGACACCACAGAAGGCTTGTGAGCTCCTCAAGGGCAGGGGCCAGGTCTGTGCCTTCCAGGTCCTAGGTAAGTGTTGCGCAGCAGATGGCTTGCTTCAGGGTCTTGTGCATGTGTGCTAAGTGTAGTCGCAAGCCTCCAAGCAGCCTTGCAGTGATAATGCAATCAAATAAACAGAAACAAAGAATAAAACATTTACAGACTAGATTCTATTCATCTTACCATCAGTAAAAAAATATGATCTGGTCCCATCTTGTCTAACATAAAAGTTTTCTCCAAGTTTGCTGCCGGCTTTAAACCTAAGCATAGCATGATCATACAGCCCGTAGTCACGAAACAAGACACTTTTTCCTGGTTTTAATACCTATGAAACAAAAGCAGGCTAAATGTGACTTTGGAGAACCCTGTCCAAATAAAACCTGATTAAGTCAGGACTTGAAATGAATTTGTGATCATTATTAAGGGGACAGACTGAAATACACATAATATGGAACCAAAATGGCCTATTAGTTAAAAAGATATTAAGATCGGTCAGGACTCCACAACACTAAGACACTTCTGTTTTTGGTTTTGTTTTTTTTTGAGATGAAGTTCTGCTCTGTCGCCCAGGCTGGAGCGTAGTGGCATTATCTCAGCTCACTGCAACCTCCACCTTCCGTGTTCAAGTGATTCTCAAGCCCCAGACTTCCAAGTAGCTGGGATTATAGGTGCCTGCCATCATGCCCAGCTAACTTTTTTATTTTAGTAGAGATGAGGTTTCACCATGTTGGCCAGGCTGGTCTCAAACTCCTGACCTCAAGTCATCTGCCCAACTTGGGCTCCCAAAGTGCGGAGATTACAGGCATGAGCTACCTTGCCAAGCCCTGAAGACGCTTTTTGAGTACCTCCAAGAGCGCTCTGGAATATCCAGCGTCACAGGTTTAAAATGTTAGAGACCAACCTGGGCAATATAGTGAGACCACATCTCTACAAAAAATTAAAAATTAGCTGGATGTGATGGTGTGTGCCTGAAGTTCCAGCTACTTGAGAGGCTCAGGTGGGAGAACTGCTTGAACCCAGGAGATTGAGGTTGCAGTGAGCCAAGTCCATGTCACTGCCCTCCCTCCAGCATGAATGACACAGCGAGACTCTGTCTCAAAAAAATAAAGTGTTAGAGACAATAAATAAAAGTGTTATCCTCATCAAAGTACTCTCTTACAACATTTTATTCACCATCTCCTAGTACTCAAACTGTATTCAACTCTTTTTTTTTTTTAACAGTCCAGATGTCTTTTATTTTATTTTAATTTTTAACAACTATTATGCCATGAATTCATAGGGAATAGGTTCCAGCGGCTCAGGCTCCTTCCCATTGGTTCTCACACAGTACGCCTCTCTGGGTGGAGCAGGCTGGCGCTTCACTTGAACCTAGGTACCTTTCTCTTTGGCTTCTTTCTTTTTCTGATCATTCTCCTTCACGCATTTCAGGAAGCTATCTCAACTCTCAGTGCTTGATGTGCTCAATACGCACATTAATTCTCTTGGCAAGACTCTTGCCCTTGTTTGTTTACAACAATGCCAACAGCATGCTGGGTAACACTGTAGACTCTTCCAGTTTTGCCATGATAACATTGGTGGGGCATTCCTTTTTGAAGGGTACCCATGAACAGTACCCATTCCCTTGGTGTCTACAATAGCACCTTTCTTATAGATTCGCATATACGTGGCCAAAGGACAACTCCATGTTTTCTAAGAGGCCTAGAGAACATATATTAAGTGTCTCTCCTCTTTCCCTTTGTGTTTCTCATTTTGGTGAATTACTGGAAGATGACGTTTCCTCAACTCTTTCTTTAAAAAAAAAAACAAAACAAAAACAGAATGTCATTTTGGCTTTTTACTGATTCAGGTTAGTTTTCCTCATTCTGAGTCTCAGCTCTCATTTCACTGTGCCACAATATGTAGCTCAATGATGGTGCTAATGACTGATACATGCCTAGCATTTAACAGCTTAACCATACATTTTCTCATTGTCTTTTCACCCAATTGTGAGACAAGGGAATGTGATTATTATTCTCAGGTGAGATAAGGAAACCAGTACTCAAAAGGGTTAAGTGATCATGCATTAACTTTTTTTTAGAGACAAGGTATTGCTATGTTGGCCAGGCTGGTTTCGAACTCCTGACCTCAAGTGATTCACCCGCCTCGGCCTCCCAAAGTGCTGAGATTACAGATGTGAGCCACTGAACCTGGCCAAACTGTGTACTCTTGACCACTGAACCATAACTCCTCTCACCTTATAGCAGGACTCCATGGATTCCAGGTAAATGCAAAATCATCCTTGTCCCAGGGCTGGCCAAGCTCTAAAGAGCAGCCATGCCACTACACAAATCGGAATTTAGAGTGGATGTTTTATGCCAGAGGACACCTTTCTAAACACCTACTACAGTCTACCTAGTGAGGATGGAGACACCATGTGAATCTAGACAGTACATGAGCCTCATGAGAGAGGGTAAGCAAAAGAATCAAAACTGTCCAACTCTCAAGTGCAGGCCCCAAATGACTAACCTTGTAAATGTTTTGTAAGACAAGGTGCATCTTATCAGGATGAATAGCTGAGAGCACAAATATCAACATAACAACATCCACAGATTCTGTTGGTACATGATCCAGAAGATCATCTTTCGTCAGATCACACTGGAATACCTTGCATCTTTCTGTGTCATATAAAGGATTTTGCTAGAGGGGAAAAAATACGAATGGATTTTAATGCAATCACTATGCTGATACATATAGAAAAATACAACATCAAAAGGTGACCCTATTTCTACTTGTATACATAGAAACAATAACTTTGTTACCAGATAAAACTGATTAATAAATCACTCACATATAAAGCATGTAATATTCACTACAGCTACAAGGGGCAAGACTTCATTTTAATAAATCATTTTTAACCGAGGAGAGAATAAGAGTATCACATATTCAAAACTGAGCATTTTAGAAGCATATTATTTCCAGAGGGATGATGATTCAAAACTGGCCTCTGTTTCTTTCTTTTTGTTTCTTTAAAGAGACAGGGTCTCACTCTGTCCCCTGGGCTACATGTAGTGGCATGATCATGGCTCACTGCAGCCTTCACCTTTTGAGCCCAAGTCATCCTCCCACCTCAGCCTCCAGAGCTTCTGGAACTACAGATAGGCACCACCGCATCTGGCTAAATTTTTATTTTTGTAAAGACGAGGTCTTGCTATGTTGTCCAGGTCAGTCTTGAACTCCTGGCCTCGAATGATCCTCCGACTTCGGACTCACAAACTGCTGGGATTACAGGCATGAACCACCATGTCCTGCTGGCCTCTGGCTTCCTTAATTCCCCTTTAAATCATCTGCTACAAGCTTAAACCCTATGAGAAGCCCTTCCAATTCCCCTTGTTGAGATGCTCCCACAGTTCTTCTGTGGTATATTTTCTCTTGATGCAGCAAGCTAAATAAACTTAACCTTTTTTTGACTACAAATGTGTCCCTGGTACATTTTGGTTCATAGGCTTCAACACATGTATAAGAGTATTATGAAGAAAAATATTAAACTTTTATTTCATGTAAATGTGGACCCAAATAAATATACAAAGTTACTGGATGGGAAAATTAAATGCAAAGTTAAAAAGATGTCAATTCTATTCATAATTCCATTTGTAAATCAAACGCAATTCAACTGAATCCCAATAGATTTCTAGAAACTTGACAGGATGAATCTAATTAATCAGAAAAAATCTTTAAGAATAGCCAAGTCAGCCACGCAAGGTGGCTCAGGTCTGTAAACCCAGCACTTAGGGAGACCGAGGTGGGCAGATCACGAGGTCAAGAGATGGAGACCATCTTGGCCAACATAGTGATACCCTGTTTCTACTAAAAATACAAAAATTAGCTGGGCGTGAAGTGTCTGTAATCCCAGCTACTTGGGAGCCTGAGGCAGGAGAATCCCTTGAAGGGAAGGATTCTCCAGGAGGTAGAGGTTGCAGTGAGCCAAGATCGCGCCACTGTACTCCAGTCTGGTGAAAGAGTGAGATTCCATCTCAAAAACAACAAAAAAATAATAGCCAAGTCAATTTTTTAAATGATGAACAATGAAGTGAGTGTGGTGGCTCATGCCTGTAATCCCAGCAACTTGGGAGGCTGAAGTGAAAGGATTGCTTTACTTCAAAGCTGCAGTGAGCTATGATCTGTGTCACTGCACACCAATCTCATCTTATAAAAAATAAATAAAAAAGAAATAAAAGAATGAAGGTAAAGGAGGAGTTTCACTACTGGACATCAAAATATATTACAAAATGTAGTAATAAAACACAGTTTGAGAATGGAGACAAATATATCACTGAGACAAAACAGAGTCCCAAAACAGACCTGTGCATACTGTATATATAAAGAGGAATTTTGTATGTTATATGATAAAAGATAGACAAAGATGACAATTAGATAAAAAGGCAGATAAATAAAGATGACAATTATGAGTGAGGAAAAATTATTTCTCACTCAATTTACAGTGTTCAGAAGAACTGGCTACCCATTTGAACTAAAGGACAATCAGAGGCCCACTGTACCAGTTCAAATATGGACAAGCAGAACATTAGAGAACAACGCCCTCTCCCACACCCTACCACCAAGTCTCCAAGAATAACAGTAAACTGCAGCTGGGAGAGCCGAAACACACAGACTCTTTGGGAAACAGTACAAAGGGAAGAACCAAATCCAAGAGAGGAGACAAAGCAAGTTGCTAGAGGAGTTTGAAGTCTCTGGTACCCACAGCAACAACAAACCTCACAGACAGCAATAACAGACTTCAAACAACAGCCCAATTCCTGACTAGATTATTACAAATCCCTATCCCTCAGTGTCTACTGGCCCTTATAATAACTATGTCCAGTTTTAACCAAAAAGTAGAAAACATCCCAGAAAGCAAGAAAAAATACAGTGTGAAGAGAATAAGCAATCACCAGAGCCAGGCTCAAATATGACAGATGCTGGATCCAAAAGCTTGGGTATTTAAAATAATTACGATTAAAATGTCAAAGACTCTGACAGAAAAGATAGATAACAAGCAAAATCAGATACATAATTTCAGGGATGGAAACTATAAAAAGACTCAAAGAGAAATGCTAAAAACCAAAAACATGGTAACAGAAAATGAACACTTTTAATAGGTTCCTCAATAAAACAGGTACTGTCTAGGAAAGAGTCAGTGAACTTGATGATAGGATAATAGAAATTACACAGACTGAAAACGCAAAAAGGAAAAAACTGTGGGAAAAATCCTAAAATAGCATCTAATGGTTGTGGGGAAATAGTAAATGTTACACATGTAACTGGAATCCCAGAGGGAGAAGAGAGAACAAGAGCTAAAGAAAGAATTTGAAGAAATAATGACCCTAATTTTTCCAGATTAAAAAACATAACGAAAATTATAAAATAACTATTTAATCAAGAATTACTAAGAGCAATATATAGGTGATTATGTCTAAATCCTAGCAGTAGCTGGGTGCAGTGGCTCACACCTGTAATCCCAGTACTTTGGGAGGCTGAGGCAGGAGGATTGCTTGAGCCCAGGAGTTCAAGACCAGCCTGGGCTAGTAAGACCTCATCTCTAAGAAAAATCAAGTAAACTCTAGGAGTAAAGGGCTCCTAAACAAGACATAAAAATGTACTTCAAAAGGAAAATATTAATATTTTGCCTTAATAACTTAAATCCTTTGTAGCCTGGGCAACACAGCAGGTCCCCATTGCTACAAAAAAATATATTTTTTTTTGAGACGGAGTTTCTCTCTTGTTGCCCAGGCTGGAATGCTGTGGTGTGATCTCGGCTCACTGCAACCTCTGCCTCCTGGGTTTAAGTGATTCTCCAGCCTCAGCCTCCAGAGTAGCTAAGATTACAGGCATTTGCCACCACACCCGACTAATTCTTTTATTTTTAGTAGAGATGGGGTTTCACCATGTTGGCCAGGCTGGTCTCAAACTTCTGACCTCAGGTGATCTACCCGCCTCAGCCTCCCAAAGTGCTGGTATTACAGGCATGAGCCACCACACCCTGCTCTACAAAAAAAATTTTGAAAATTAGGCAGACATGGTGGCACATGCCCATGGTCCCAGCTCAGGAAGCTGAAGATCACCTGAACCCACAAGGTTGAGGCTGCAGTGAGCTGCGCTTGTACCACCATACTCCAACCTAAGCTACAGTGAGACCTTGTTTTTAAAAAAAAAAAATCCTGTGTGGAAAAAAAGATATCGTAAAGCAATGCTGAACATACTGGAAGAAATATTTGCAATATATATACTACAATATCTAGAATATAACCTGAAAATAAGAAAGAAAATGACAAACCAATAGAAAAATGGGCAGAGGCTATGAATGGACAATATAAGCTTCATGTGGGTGGGAATTTTTGTCTGTTCACTGTTTAACTCCAGTGCTTAAAACAATGATTGGCACACATTAATCTCTCAATAAACAGATGTAGACCAAAGGAACTCACAGCTAACTAATGCTATCGACCTTCTACAAGGTCTTCAACCTCTCCAGTAATAAGGAAAACCAAATTAAAATACAGAGACATTTTTTGCTCACAAGATTGGTAAATATAAAAAAGACTGATATCAAGTGTTGAGGCAATAAAGAAAAAGGTACCTTTATATTATTGGTGAAATTATAAATTAGTATGATCTTTTTAGAAGGAAACTTGGCATTGTCTATTAAAATGTAAATGTGCATGCTCTTCTTCCAAAGAATTCTACTTCTTCCATTTTTCATCATAGACAAATGGGCACGCACGTTTTGGGAAGCATATGCATGATGCTGATCACATTAACTCTATTTATAAGAACAAAAAATTAGAAACAATTCAAATAAATATCAATAGGGTAACTGCTAAATAAAGTATGGTATATCCATTCTATGGAATACTATAATAGGTAAATAAAATCTGCATGTACTAACATGAAAAACTGTGCAAAATATAATAATGTAGAGTGAGGAAAGCATGTTATAGTAAATATGATACCACAACTATTTAAAAAAAATCTACCATGTATATAATGGACAAACAAGTGCTTATTTAAAACATCTAGACTTTCTAGATGTTTAGAAGTGCACAAAGTATGTTAAAAAGTAGAGGTAGTAAATAACACATTTTGTAGATATCCTTTTGTTAAAATTCACTGAAGTATCACCTTTTGGAAATGAAATGATCAAACCACTTCTCTAAGCAGTATACATCATTACATTTGGGTCAGGGGAAAAGGAGGAGAATAGAGTGCAAAGGGCTTTATACCAATGTGCTTATAGTGAGGCAAGATTGACCACTGTACCTTATTGTCCATGCATTTTCTTTTACTTTGCTGAGCATATAGTGTATATGAAGGACAAATGCATCCTAGTTTGGAACATCTAGTTCTAGATGTTAAAGAGGTTGCCAGCGTATGACAAGTCAGTAACCTAATACATTGAGTAACTTTGTGTTCAAATTCATAGGAAAGACTGTTCTTAAGAACACTTAGGGAAGTGAAATTGTTAAAATCCCCTCTAGATTACAGATGCTTATACCTATCCACTGAGTTGATAGAGGTGGGAAGTGTTCTGTGCCAGAATGTTCCTATTTAGATGGCACTTTCAAATGACAGCTTATTATTTATGTGTACCACTTATTCAATGCTACAGTGGAAAACTTAAGTCCTATTTGAAACATCTAGTCTTTCTAGACATTTAAAAGTACACAACATACGTGTACTTCTGGCACTGTAGAGGGCTAAAGTAACAAAAGTAGAGGGCTAATGTAACATCCTTTAAGCATTTTCTGTTCATAGGACTGGTTGCATTTTGGGAATGGAATTATTGAAACGGATGATGTCTTAGAGGGTGTGCTGACTATTCACTGGGTAGTAGTGGGCAGGGGGAGGAGGAAGTATGCAGAGAGTAGGATTCTGTGCCCTTGAGTCAGATTAGTTCAGATTGTCTAGCCATTGTTCTATATGTGCATCTCAGTTAATACTGCTGTGTATTAAAGGATAAACAAGTCCCTGATGCTCAAACTATGCTAAAAGTAGAGGTAGTAAAATAATCTGTTTTTTAGTTTTTAGGAAGGACTATCCTCTGGGAGTGACCTTTGTTAACTGACCTCTTGGAACTAGACATAGTCCTGACTTAGTCACTGGAATGGTAGAAGAGGAGGAAGAAGGGGTAGAGGAAAGGGCTCTTTGCCAGAATTTCCATATTTAGAAGATGGTTTGAGATGATAACCACAGGTCTATATGTACATTTTTAGTAAAGTACCTGTGTTTACTGTGGACAGAGTTCATTATTTTGCAACACCTAACCTTTATAGACATATGTGACAACATACAATAAAAAGCAGAGATACCCCATAACTATATATGTCTACTATGCACCTACAAAATTATTTTAAAACTAGGCCTAGTGAATTTGCCAATTTGTAAATAGCTTTTTGTTATAATTGATAGAAAAGATGAATGTTGGACATGGAGTTGTTAAACCACCTCCGAGCAATGTATATATCAGGATTTGTTCATCAGAGGGGAACAGAGCGGTAGAAGTATAAAGAGATAGATGTATGCAGATGTATTCATATTTACATTTTGACAATAGCCACTAATGTATGTTAGTTTCTCTTAGCTGTACTATGGGAATACATTAAGTAATTCAATGGAAACATATCTTCTTGGTAATATTCCAGTGGCAAAGATCCCATAATAAATTCTCTCGGAAACATTATACTTGGTATACTCTGTTACTTTATGTTCCATTTTAAATTGAGCATTAAGGCAATACAGTCTTTTAATGGGAACTCTGCCAATACTTCTACCTAGAGGTGTGCTACCATATTTGTCTTCTATGAAATTTTTGTCCCAAGACAGGTAAGATTATATTTTCTTCGAACAGATTGAGTTGGTGTAGGGTGTTCTTGGTTATCAAAATACTCATACAGCTTTGAGACTTTCAATTGGTAAATATTCATAATGTGTGATAAAACATGATACATACTACATAATGTGTCTATACATACACAGGACCTAGGAGGACAAGTTAAACTGTAAACGGGTTGTGATTGTGGATGACTTTGTTCTTTGCTTCTTGTGTTTCTCAGTTTCCTACAGTAAACGTACTAACTTTTTAAAAATAATGGGTTTAGGTTTTGCTTTTGTTTTTTTTTTTTTTAATAGGGTCCTGCTCTGTCACCCAGGCTAGAATGCAGTAGCATGATCATAGCTCATGCGGCCTCAAACTCCTGAGCTCAAGTGGTTTTCCTGCCTGTCTCCCAAACAGCTGGGACTACGGGCACACACCACCACACCTGGCTAATTAAAACTTTTTTGGCCAGGCGAGGTGGCTCACACCTATAATCCCAACACTTTGGGTGGCTGAGGTGGATGGATCACCTGAGTTCAGGTTCGAGACCAGCCTGTCCAACACAGTGAAACCCCATCTCTACTAAAAATACAAAAAAATTAGCTAGGCGTGGTGGCGGGTGGCTATAAATCTAGCTACTTGGGAGGCTGAGACAGGAGAAATGCTTGAACCTGGGAGGTGGAGGTTGCAGTGAGCTGAGATTGCACCACTGCACTCCAGTCTGGGCAACAGAGGAGAGACTCGGTCTCAAAAAATAAAATAAAACAAAAAATAAAGGACATAAGTGTAAGAGGTAGTACTTGACTGGATTATAATCAGCTATAGGTAGGGGATGGTAGCTCATGCCTATAATCCCACACTCTGGGAGGCCAAGGCAGAAGAATCGCTTGAGCCCAAGAGTTTGAGACCAGCTTAGGCAATATAGGGAGACCTCATTTCTACAAAAATTTGAAAATTAGCCAGGGTCAGGTGCCATGGCTAGCACCTGTAATCTCAGCACTTTAGGAGGCCGAGTTGGGAGGATTGCTTGAGCCCAGGAGTTCAAGCCCAGCAACATAGTGAGACCGTATCTCTAAAATTAAAAAAAAATTTTTTTAAACAAAAAATAAAATACTAGCTGGGCACGGTGGCACGTGCCTGTACTCTCAGCTACTTGGGAGACTGAGGTGCGAGAATCTGCTTCAGCCAAGGAGGTCAAGACTGCAATGAGTTGTGATTGCGCCACTGTACTCCAGCCTGGTTTACACAGTAAAATCATGTATCAAACAAAAACCAGCTATAAAAGACACTTGGATGCCAGGTGCAGTGGCTTATGCCTGTAATCCCAGCACTTTGGGAGGCTGAGGCTGGTTGATCACTTGAGCCCAGGAGTTTGAGACCATCCTGGACAACATAGTGAGACCCCATCTCTACAAAAAATTTAAAAAATTAGCCAGGTGTGGTAGTGCATGCCTGTAGTCTCTGCTACTTGGGAGGCTAACATGGAAGAATCACTCAGGCCCAGGAGGTGAAGCCTGCAATGGGCCATGTTCATGCCACTGCACTTCAGACTGGGTGATAGAGAAAGACCCCATCTCTAAAAAAAGTAAAAAATAAAACTAAAAGACACCTGGAACTATCTGGGGAAATCTGAATCTGGAATGGATGTTAATGACATTGGGGGATTATAGTTATTTTATTTATTTATTTATTTTAAGACAGTCTCGCTCTGTTGCCTAGGCTGGAGTGCAGTGCTATAATCTTGACTCACTGCAATCTCCACTTCCCGGACTCAAGTAATCTTTCCACCTCAGCCTCCTGATTAGCTGGGATTACAGGTGTGCACCACCATACCCAGTTAATTTTTGTATTTTTTTTTTTTTTTTTTTTGTAAAGACAAGGTTTCACCAGCTAGGCACAGTGGTTCCTGCCTGTAATCCAGCACTTTGGGAGGCTTTGGCAGACGAATCACACGAGATCAGGAGTTCAAGACCAGCCTGGCTAACATAATAAAACCCTGTTTCTGGTAAAAATACAAAAGATTAGCCGAGTGTGGTGGTGGGTGTCTATAATCCCAGCTACTCGGGAGGCTGAGGCAGGAGAATCACTTGAACCCAGGAGGCAGAGGTTACAGTGAGCCAAGATCACACCATTGCATTCCAGCGTGGGCAACAAGATCAAAACCCCATCTCAGAAAAAAAAAAAAAAAGGCTTCACCATGTTGCCCACGTTAGTCTTGAAGTACTGGGTGCAAGCCATCCAGCAGCGTCAGCCTCCCAAAGTGTTGGGATTACAAGTATGGCAGGCCAGATTATAGGTATTTTTGTTACATATGACAAACTTATTGTGGCTGTGTACAAGGGGAGATATATGCAACCATATTTAGGAGTGAAATGTCTTGACATTTGTAATATACTTTAAAATGGTTCAGCAAAGAAAAATTATAAAGCAAAAGATGTTAATTATATGGGTGTCACTATTTTTCTCCAATAAAGCTGTGTTTCTGCATGCACTGTATATATATGTAAGCAGGAAAGCTACATTTATGGTGACTATAGCTGGTTAGCTATAGAATTGGGCAAATGGGTATAGAA